AAATCAAAAAAAAAAAAAAAAAAAAAAAAAAACAAAAAAACTACAGGAGTCAAAAATTTCGTTTCAGAACCAGTTACCATCATCGTCGGAGCTCCCGAGCTATTCGTGAATAAGGGTAGCACCATTAATCTAACTTGCGTCGTGAGATATGCTCCGGAACCACCGCCCATGATGATTTGGAGTCACAACACCGAGGTAAGTATTCCCTGGATAATTACAAGAGTGGTTCGATAATTATCCACACTGTAATTATAAAGTTTATTAGAATAACGATGGAGTGTTTGCAAGAGATACCTTTCGGTGTAACATTGCTTCATCAGAATGAAATGAACATGGAAATTAGTTGCAAAATTCGTTAGACTAACGCTAGAATTCGTGCGAGAGATGTTTCTCGATATAGCATTGCTTTCATCGGAATGAATAAAACGAATTGTCACGTCTGTTAGAATAGATATACAACGCTCTATAAAAATAAAATGTGCGAAAGTTAATTCTAATATTTATTAAAATAATGATAGAATTCACTTACAAGAATTTAACAAGAGATATCTTTCGATATACACTCTACTCTATCAAAATAGAATCCACTTGATCATTTTCATACATTTATCATTTATCGAATTATCAACTATTATTCATTTATCAGTTATCACCTATCAAAAAAAAAAAAAAGTGAAAGAATGCAGGGAGTAACTTTTTTATCTATATATTTTAATTTTCAGTGCCCAACATTCTTATTTTAATTCTTGAGACTTCCAAGAACTCGGCAAGAGTTTAATCAAACTAATTAAAATTTAGTTGTAATGTATTTCTACTGTAATCGGAGTTTATACAACAGAAATCTACTAGCAATCTCATCGGTTCACACAATCATCACGGAAGTTTAGATTCAAACAAATCAGCTCAACCAGTAAGAATTCGTTCAATCAAACATTGATCAAAATTTAATTTAAGTAAATAGAATTCATGTAAACTTCTACTGTAGAGTTCTACTGCAATGCCGAGTTTGCATAATAGTAGTTCACTGATTCTTCCCTCTGCTAGTGATTTTTCGTTTCACGTAACAGGAGGGTTCAGGCTCGAAAACAAACGGGTTCAGTTCACTTAAATTTAGCAAAAATTCGGATTCAATGGATATCGGATGGTATCAGCTGAAATTTGCTACCAAATAAATAGAGTTCCACTGCATGTCACAAATTTACTTACCAACAAGTAAGGTGATGCGCGATTTACAGTCAATGGCGTATCTGAGGATGAACCAGGTACTCGCCTGGTTCATTTCACGTGTTCAGCAGAAGTTCTTTTGTGCCGGCTCAAAGGGAATACGTGAAGGGAACACGCAGCTCACACATATACACCTGTGTCTTTTTACCATTCTTCTCGCGAAACTTGCAAGCAGAATATCTTTTGTCTTCGTGCGAGGCAACGGTATTACATGACAGTGCGCGAAAACCCATTGGGAAGAAGGGAGTGGGAGGAGGGATATTTTCCACGAGAATATGAGAAAACTGCCGCGGTAGCTTTGAGGAAGTGATTGCGAAACCAAAAAGTCTGGATCTGTCTCGGGATCCAATATTGTTCCTTTTTAACTGGTATGCAAGCCGCCCGACGATTGTAATCCATAGCTATCGCGCAGGATACATCATGGCGATGCATACTGTTTCGTATTGTGCTGGTTTTCTGCCAAGTTACGCGAGTAATCTTTCCTATCTTTCGTTCGTATGCCGCGAAACTTTCTGCTAGTAACTCACTCAATTGGCGCTGAACACTGTTTTGTTTTTCATGCAATCATCAGTGTGATGAATAGTCGTCACACTGTCAGTGATTAGCAATGTATTTCGAATCCATAGTGGCGGACAGAAGAATGTTCAGAGAGCAAGTGATAAGAAAAAAGTTCGTAACTTCATGAAATTATATTTAACTGAAACAGTAAGTGGATAATTGTCATAGTATTGGTGTTGAAATCACTGACTCTTCGTACCATACAGTGCAATGTTTTGTGCATAATTAAAATCAAGTAACTAATTATTTCAGAAACTTTCATTCCAGTTAGAATAATAACAATTACTGTTGCAGATATAAAATGTCAACGTTAAGAGAAATTTTTATAACATCTTCACGCGCGTTTGAGTTTTTTAAAATTTCCAAGGAGAAAGTAACTATTCTCAGTTCTCTGGCTCCATCAAATTATCCATGAAAGTAAAAGAATTTGGTATTCTTGCACATTGATGGAATACAACAGCGAAGCAATTTTCAAAATTCTGAGAGAAAATTTTCAATCATGCATATAAATCTCTCGAAATTTCAAATTACACGATGTTATAAGCGACTATAAAGTAACTATTGATGAAGAAAATACGATAATATATCGTTCGTTAGACCCGGTATTTGTCATTCAGAAAGCAAAATAAGAACATTTGTTAGTATAAAACCGATATTACCTCTCGCTCGATATTATTCAAGCGTCGAAAGCAAACTACACAAGCAAACACTGTATGGTATAATATTGGAAGCAAAATTTCAGATATTCTGAAACGCAAGTGCCTTAAATAATTTAACAACAGGATACAAGAGTTTAAGTTTCACGGTACTTTGAAAAAATAGGTCAAAATCGACGTAGGCGAAGTTACTTACACTCACATGGATATACACACACGTACACGAGTATATCATACATACATCGAGATTCAACAAACATCAAAATCTGTATATAATGCAGAGTGGGTCAAAAAAATATTGACGCGCCAAGTTATCTTTATGAAAACAAGCGATACTTTGGCAAAACCTATTTTCACAAATAGTTTATATAGTATATAAAACTAATGTGTGCAATTTCCAACAATCGGTTATATAATAATACAAAAAGTATAAAGAAAAATTCGAGAGTGAAAAAAAGTATTGACACACTTATAATTCCAGTACTTAATCATTTCTGCATTCAATAACAGAATGTTATTAAAAAAGCTACAAAATATCCAGTCAGAACTTTTTTAAATGTAATCGCATAACTTTTAAAGCACCAGTCATTTTTGTGTAAGAATTGTCAACGTACCATACTTAGCAAGGAAACAGTTTAAAAGATATTTCATTGAGATGTGTGGAATGAATACAGTGATACTTATTTTGTGAAATTACGAACGGTCTTGTGTCATTTGTCTTTCCAATTTTCTTCACTTCGCCATCATTTTACCAGCAATGTCGGCCACCAGTGACAGTAAATATGCTTCAAATTTCAATTATTAATGCCCCATTAATTACATTTCGTTACGCATTAACACACGAATTTCACGAAGCATTCTCGTATTTCTTTCCCTTCGAACGAATTCCGTTGTCGCGGATTCTATTAAATTCTGCTGATTGAAAAGTAAATGCATACAATTCAGTTGTGTAGGTCCCTCTCGAATACAAACCTGCGCACGTTCCTTTCCGCGTTAAATAACATTTTTCCAACGTTGCAAACGCGCACGTTAAACCGGACAAAAAAAATAAGAAAAGAGAAGAAGAGAAAAAGAAAAAGAACGATACTTTGCCCGTAATGCGCTTACATTCAGCCTGCACACGAATGCACTGCGACTTTATCTTATTCTCGGTTTACAAGTGTCTCTTTGCAAAATCCAGTACGCTTGGCGCGC